TTGATTTTTGGCCGACGGCGGGACAAGAAGGTGGTGGAGGACAGCGGCAGAGGCCTACAAGGCTTTCCCGGCGGCCGGCCGGTGCCGACGGGGAGGGGGGAGGGGTATGAGGGGCGGCGGGGGCGAAGATGCGGCGTGGGAGGGAAGGGAGAGGCAGCAGAGGAGAGCTGCGTCGTTTTACTCGGCGGAGCAAAGAGGGATTAAAAATAGGAATTTTTTTAGGGAGGGGAGTAAAATTATCCTCTGTTAGGCTGGATTGGAGATCGACTAGGTGCCGATCAGTGGAGTAAAAAGCTAAATATACACCACTAACCGGTTATAAGGGATCGGTTAGAAATGCCCTTAGCTACCCTTTTGCAAAGGAAATTTGTTACTTCCTCCTTCCATCTATATAGGGCTTAATGCGTATTTTAAGACTGTCTTTGACTATTGATAATAAGATTAATAATGCACAATATGTATAATGTAAAAATTATATCACTGGAAGCTCTTTTCACGTACAAAATTAACGATATGCTTTGTGTAACTTGCATACCATATATTATTGCTCTAACATTTGATCAAAGTTAGCCTCAAAAAATGCATTAGGTCCTATATAGACGGAAAGAGGGAGTGCTGCGTTGGAGCTTACTTTCCCAGCGCTTCACTCGCGGCTGACTCTCCACAATTGTTCTCGGATTGGTGGTCTAAATGCTGAGTGCCTTACAAAAAGAAGAATGAGATTGATGAGCGCACTGCTGCTGCATACGTACATTGCTTCAGGGATTTCGAAAGAACGAAATGCGAGAATCTTCAATAACAAGCGGGCAACCCCTCAGAGCGTTCTTCTGATTATCAGAGATGAAATCAGCCTCCTTAAGGAGGCCTCAGAGTGATCCGTTTTGCTGTTTCTGCGCACTCCTAGTAATGTTTTGCTGTTTCTGCGCAATCCTCTGGTAGTTCTCTGTCTATCTTTTTCTAACGCTCTTCCTCTCCTTTTCCCTCCTCGTGGCTAGTTCCTAGTCTCTGTACAGTTTTGCTTTACCCCATAATGAAAATGCCGAGCTTCTGCAGTTCCGGTAAAAAAATAATGCAAGACTGATACCACTATTTTTTTTTGACAAACTCGAGATTGATACCCACTAACTTACAAGCAAGTAACCAAAATCATTCATACACGTTGTGGTTTTGCATTTCGCACTTCAGAACGAGCCTTTGTATTTGGACCAACTGAATTTACCCACAATTTCCATCACGGAAAGTTGAACAATGTATACATCTTCAAAAGACCTTCGGTCGGGAAAAAAGACAAGGTATATCAGTTCATTGCAACATTCACATTAAGCAATGTTTTTTCACAAGAAAAAAAATCGATTCCCAGTCTATGAAATGCAAGACAATGTTGTATCTCATCATCAACTCCTCCCTCAGCTTCTCGAATTTGCATTCCTCAGCGGTGTGATCAGTCATAGGTTCATAGCTGACCTCCTGATTTCAAAACATCTCTGCATTCCCCCCTTCTGCAGTCGTGCCCATACGCTTACTAACACCGCCGTGACAGTAGTTTGTCGCCATACAGAAGGCAGACCATCGAACGCAAGGCAAATTCCTTCCCCAAATCACTGGGGAGTTCTTGAGTTCTGCAGTAGTATGTTCAGGAGACACAATAGCCTGTAATCAGCTTGTGAACGTCGAGCCACCGCATGCCCGGCTATTCTGGCCACATGATGTAACAACATAGGTTCATTCAGCTTTGATCTCGTTGGGTGCACCCGGATGGTTCCTTGTCAGAAGGTATTAGGACACTGTAAGGTAAGTCCAATTCTGCATGCCAATCGAGTATCTGATGCTCACGAAGGGCAAAGTTGAAACACTGCACACAAAAAAAGGAAGGAAAAAACATAAAGCAACAACCAACAGCTATGCAGAAGCAGAACAACCTTCATCATAGTCATTACAAAGGACGAGTAACAATCATTTCATGCAGTATGCTGATTCACAGGGGCCATTCTCACATTGTTCATCCTTAAAGAAGAGTGTCGGTGCTGTGGTGCAGGACATATATGAATCAATTGCAATGTACTACCAAACTATCTTAAAAGTTAAAACTGATGCATGGCCAACGAAACACTTCCACCATAAACTGATTTGAACACTTCAAACAGCTAACCATTTTCAGTATCACTTTGTCTCCGCAAATGTGCATTCTACAAAAAGGCGGAGCACTGTCAATCTCAAAAAATTGAAATCTCCCCCATTAAGACTCATACTGTGTTGTTCTTTTGTCCAGAAGACAACACAGGGACCTCAACCTTGCAATGGTAAGTGATTTGCCTTGAGGTTTGAGCACACAATATCAGTAGTCAGCCCTATCTCTACAACGCGATCTCAAATCGTACAAGGTATCATGGCTCCAATCTTTATTCTACATGAATTCTCATGGATCACAGAGTTGGTTCTAAATTCAACAGTGAAAGCACCTGGTCCACTTGGTCAAACACCGATGGGGCAGTGGATATTTCAAAATCTAATCTATGCAACCACAACACTTAAATTCCACTCAACTTACTGCATACTCCACCACTACTCTTCTTGTTAACCTTCACTACACAAATTTGACCACATTAGTTGAGGCTATCCAATGATCTTATTCATTGATCCTTCCTACCCAAAACAAACAAATCACTTGACCAGCATATCCAACAGTCCAACAGCATAACATTGGTTTATGTCACAGGATACAATCAGAAGACAGGAATCCTACCTGAAAATTCAGAACCTTTACCATGCAATTCACAGCACCCCACTAGACAGCATCTACTTCCCGATTCATTCAGTTTCCTTCTAGTGACATCTCAACAATACACTTTTAAATCATACAAGGTAGCATGGCTCCAATCTTTATACTGAATTATCATGGAGCACAGAGTTGGTGCTAAATTGAACAGTGAAAACACCTGATCAAACACCAATGGACCATGGATATTTCAATAATCTTATCTATGCAACCACAAAACTTACATTCTTCTGAACTTAGTGCCTACTCCACCACTACTTTTCTTGTGAACCTACACTGCACAATTTTGAGCAAATTAGTTGAGGCTATCTGATGGCCTTATTCATTGATTCTTCCTACCGAAAACAAATAAATCACTTGCCAAGCATACCAGTCACAGTCCAACAGCATAGCACTGGCGGCCTATGTCATGAAATGCAATTAGAAGATAGGAGCCCAACCTAGTAATTCAGAAACTTTACCAAGCAATTCGCAGCGCCCCACTAGACCGCATCTACTTCCGGATCCATTCAGTTTCCTTTTAGTGACATCTCAAGCTGCTCCATCCTCCGGGCTAGGTCATGTTTCCCAAGATGCCGCAGCCCATCGACTACAACGTTAAAGGTTGGCGCCCGTGGCGCGAACCCAGCCTCACTCATCTCAAGAAGGTAGTTTGCAGCATCCAAGAACCGACCACCTCTCACACACATTTTGACAAGCATCACATACACAGGCCGATTGGGTGGGTGCCCCTTGGACTTCATATCACCAAAAAAGGCGAAAGCATCAGCGAAACGACCTGCCTTGCAGAGCGCCTTGACGATCGCCGCATATAGACTTGGGAAGGGCCGGTGGCCATCCTCAATAGCCGCATAGAACAATCGGAATGCCTCCTCAATTCGGCCAGCCTTGGCCACGGCCGGTAGCATCACTTTGTAAGTTGAGATATCTGGGCACATGCCACGACTGGAAGCATCGGCAAGAAGACCCACGGCGAATTCCACATCACCAGCATCGCAAAGCGCCTGGGCGAGCGAGTTGAACGTGGCCACGTCGGGAAGGACGCCCTCCTTGGTGATGCGGAGGGCGAATGCCTTGGCTTCCTCCAGGCGCCCAGCTCGGACGAGCCCGTCGACGAGGAGGTCCCGGCCGCGCACCGGCGGCCGGAACCCGCGGGACGACATGTCGTCGAGGAACGCCTGCGCCTCCCGGAGCTTCCCCGACGCGCACCAGGCGTCGACGAGCGTGCTGAACGTGGCGCGGTCGGGGGCCACGCCCTTGCGCGCCATGCGGCGGAGCAGCTTGTAGGCGCCGGCAAAGTTGCCGTTGGCGCAGAGCGCGTCCAGAAGGGCGTTGTAGACCTCGGTGGTCTGCGGGCACCCGAAGTGGGGAAGGCGATTGAAGACCTCGACGGCCTGCTCGGCGAGGCGGGAGTGGCCGTAGGACGAGATCACCGCCGAAAAGGTTGCCGGAGAGAGGGGGAGGCCGAGCGCGCGCATGTCGGAGGCCTGGGTCCAGAGGTGGGTGAAGAGGCGCGCGCGGGCGAGCGGGAGGAGCAGCGCGTCGAAGTGATCGGCGGAGGGGGAGAAATTGGGCTTCGCCCGGAGCCACGCGAGGAAGCGGGCGGCGTGGAGGGGCTCGGAGGGGGCAGCGGCGCGGATGACGCGGAGCGCGAGGTCCGGCGGGAAGGGGGACGGCAGGCGGAGGCGGTTCAGGGTGCGCTCCAGGTAGAAGTCGCGCCGTACGATGGTGGAGAGGTGGTTGACCGCCGCGAAGTAGGCGTCCTTGGAGGTGGGGTGCTGCGGCAGCTCATCGGCGCCGGCCGCGTAGTCGGGGAGCGTGGCGAGTCGGCGGAGGCCGAGCCGGTCGCCGAGGCGGCGGAGAACGGCGGCGGAGACGGAGGGCGACATTTCTCGCCTCGCCTCTAGAAACGGAGGCCCACTCTGCAACTGGGCAAGTTATTGCAATGTACCGGGCTTAACTTTCTATTTTTCGGGCTAGACCGCACTGGCCCATTCGAGCCCATGTAACTAGGGTTTGTGGAGGGTATAAAGACTGCGTCGCCTTGCAATTCCATCCCCGCCGCCGCTCTTCTTCCTCCTCTCTTCGTGTTAGGGTTAGGGCCGTTCGCTCCCGAAGGTAGCAAGCAAGCTCGCAGACGAGCTCCCACCTCGTTTTTCCGGGTGATTTTAGCCTCGTTGTCTGATTCGAACCCCTTCTTCTGGTTTTGCCTGACAGATCAGAGATGGCGGTGCCGCTTCTGACGAAGAAGATCGTGAAGAAGAGGGTCAAGCACTTCAAGAGGGCCCATAGCGACCGCTACATTGGCCTCAAGGTATCTACCTCTTCCCCAAGACCTCTATGTAGTGGATATTACAAGTGCCTCATGTTTTGATTGCTTCGTGCAGTTGATTTTACCCGGTTCTAGATCCCGATTGTTAAGCATGCTGTCGTTTCAACTTTCAAAGTTTACCGCGGTTCATGGCCTGCTGTAGTATCTCCATTGCATAATCTGGAGGTCTCTGACGTTTTGTAGTATTATTCACTTTTGATACGTAGTCGCTGTATGCCAAATTTACCACTTCTGCTTAGGCTATGTTACTGTGAAATGGCAGTGTTGAAGTCGTTGATTCAGCACGATAGTGTTGTACGATATTAGCGTATGTTGCTGTAGAAATTTATTGTGTTTTCTGAAGGTGGAAACCATTTAGGATATGAACAAGCACAAATTCGATAACCGAACGACTAATGTTTAAATTGAAATTGTTTGTTGCACTTGTACATCAAATCATCAATGAGCATTGGGTTGAAAGCTTATAGTAGACACTTAGCCGGGCATTTGTGTTTTAGTTTTACCTTGTTTTATTGATGACTTTGTGAAGAAAGGAAGTGATGGCTTAGTAAAAGGTCTGAGTAAGAAAACATCTTCTTGAGCAAATATTGGGTTAAATGAAGAGGGCCCTAGCCCTTACATTAGTAAGTACTGTGGCTGTCGCAACCTCTTCTACAGCAATTTATTCATGTCTTCATGAAGTGGGATGAATTAAAAAAAGGCGTGGGCTTCATTCTAAGTATGAATGCTTTGCTTAGACTTCTCCCAACACTTGTTTACCAATGTGCGCTCAAGAAGTCATGTTTTCTGCATGATTAGTACCTTCTCTCTGATCCTTTCAGCTTAACTACTTCTACACTGTTATGTAACCTTGAGCTGAGCAGCATTTTCTTGGTGTGTTATTCTTCTATTTTGTGTTCTATGATTTTTTTGTTGCAAGTATACCCCCATACACCAAAGCCAGCAAGCGATTTGTTACTTTGCTCAATTATAATTATTTTTGTGTTGTCCGATGGTACAAGTATGGCTAGGCAACTTATTGTGTAGGATGGTAACTGCTTGTAATTTACCATTGTTTCTGAATGTCATAAAATTATTATTGTCCATTATAGAGTCCACAAGGAGCAGGTGATGCCAGGTTGTTTGGTATTTCAGATGTGTTGAATCTTGTTTTTTCATCTCTTCTGGACTTGTCCTCTTGTTTATTGTGTATAATGTTTTGCTTGAACTGAACAATATTTTCATTTTTGATTGTAGCAAAGCTGGCGCAGGCCAAAGGGTATTGATTCCCGTGTCAGGAGAAAGTTCAAGGGATGCACCTTGATGCCCAACATTGGCTACGGTTCTGACAAGAAGACCAGGCACTACCTTCCCAACAAGTTCAAGAAGTTTGTTGTCCACAATGTGTCTGAGCTGGAGCTGCTTATGATGCACAACAGGTAATGGGTGTCTATCATGCCTTGTACAGTACTGTCTTCCACTATTATGGTCATGCTAATCGTAATATGCCTTGTTTCTTGCAACCAGGACCTACTGTGCGGAGATCGCCCACAACGTCTCCACCAAGAAGCGCAAGGACATCGTTGAGCGTGCTGCGCAGCTCGACATCGTGGTTACCAACAAGCTTGCCAGGCTCCGCAGCCAGGAGGATGAGTAGACTGTCAGGTGCTATGTTTTGGTCTGGTTCGTATGTAGGAAAGTACTCCGCTGTTCTTTGTTGTGTGACTGTCAGGGATATCTGTTATTCCAACCTTTTTGCTACCAGTGCCGACTGTAATGTGTCAAAGATCTACTATTGCCTTTATAATCTAGATCCCATTGCCAATTGCTGAAAAGCGTGTGTTAAATTGGGGTTTGGGTCTGCTTTATATTCCGGTGATAAAATTTGAAACATCTGTTTGGGAACTTGTGATCTTGTCACGTTGTTCTGAGACTAAGGGAGACTCAATCTGGTGGGACATGGTCTGTACCTGCTGGAACATGAAACTCCCATTTCTGATTCATTTCATGGGTTTTATGCACTTTGCACAGGGACGTGTTATATGGCACAACCGTTTTTTTCCGTACTACCGCAATATAAGATGTTTATACTTTTTCCTGAATCAGATGTATATAGGCATGTTTTAGTGTGTTTTCATTCATTTGAACTGTGTTTGTTTGTATGTTGTTCATATTGAAATATCCAAAACATCTTATATGTATCATTGGAGGGAGTACCATATATACCAACTAAACCGAGTTAAGCTCTGGCTCATGTCACAAACGAAACGGAACTGGTAACAATCATGTAATCATGGTCCGATCTCTGTCAGACGCCTACCAGAATGTCGCAGCACAGTAGCGGACAGCAGTGAAGGCATCGAGAGTGGTTGGTGTTGGTCCGTTTGATAACAAGAGGCAGAGCCCAACACATGGGTTGCCTTGCAATGGTCATTCTCATCTTCTATGGCATGTAACCAAGAGCTTTATCTTTTTCTGTAGATATGTTTTCTCATAACATTTGATCGTTTGAACCATGTGCTCAAATGACGAATCATTTATATCACTAAATTTTTCATGTTGAGTTTTTCAAAATCAGATCTCATGTTAATAGGTTTTGACAAACTTTTTATTCACAGAAAAACTGAAGACAGAAAAACAGAAACTGCCAAAACAAACAAACTGAGAACACAGTTGTGTTTTTTTTCCTTCAGGATGCACATCTGTGCTTCTCGTGAAAGCACATGTTGCGCTTTTGCAGGAAGCACAGTTGTGCTTCTCATGAAATCACAACTATGCTTCCTCGCTTCTCGTGGAATAAACATCACTTTCGCAAGAAAAGTCGACCAAAGCCTAGAAAAAATCAAGCAAATGCCCAAAGCTGAAAAAACAGATAAAAATCCTAAAAAGTGTGCCAAAAAAAACAAGCGGCACGGTGGCTGATGCACCCCTTTGCTTTTTTTAGGGGAAACATGCAATGCTTTATTGATCAATGGAACGGTTTACAGGAATAAATAGAGTATCAAAGGGTTGTAGAAGCCAAACATGGCGCCCTTCACCCAAATGCAAAGCATGTCTATCTAAACTATGCGCCTCCGTATTGAAGTGACGTTCTTCATGAGCAAAAGAGATAGCCTGAAAATCACCACAACCGTCCTTTATTTCTCTGACGATTGGGCCAGTGATACCATGAGTTCCTGAGTTGATGTCATTGATGGCGGAGAGACAGTCCGAAGCCGCTGTGATGTTTTGGAGTAGCAAGTCCCTCCCCAACGATAGCGCCTCACGACACGCCAAAGTTTCCAAAATGTGTGGGTCGGTCAGCCCGTGAAAAACCACAGCCGAAGAACCCATGTACACACATTGTCCATCCCGGCATACAGCGCTGACCGCACCAATAGGTGGGCTTCTACACACTACACCATCCACATTAATCTTCACATATCCATGCGGGGGCAGGATCCATTTCCTTGCCTGTTCCTGCGGCTGGCGAGCATGTGATAACACCTGTGATGGTTGAGCCAAAGCTAGATCAGAGAGATACCTATTGATGAAAGAAAAGGTCGCCAAAGGGCTTTGGTGCTCTCCTTCATGGATCAATTTCGTCTGCGCCAACCATATCGCCCAGAAGGTAACAACAACTCGGATCATTTCTGCATGTGATACCGCAGCAAGTATACTGAAGAGCCAAGATTTTGCGTCAGGTTCCACCGTGGCCAGAATGTGCTCAACCAGCTCCGTCGAAGCCAAACATGACGCACCCCTTTGCTAGCTCTCAAAAAGAAGGTAACCCTTTGCTCGCTTGGAAATTGGGCGAATCCTATTTGGAGCCCGTGGGCGAAAAATTGATCCTGTGACGCCCATGCGAGGCTAGTTGGGCGAGCCCAGTATGCGGATCGCTTCGCTGCTACTTTTTTTTGGTTTTCTTGTTGTTGTTTATTGTACGTTTTTTCTTCAGTTTTCTGTGTTTGTTTTTCTCTTAATTAATTTTATTTATTTTCTTAGTTATTCTTGTACATTTTTCTGTTCTTCTGTTTGTTGGTTTTTTTCCTACTTTTTGGCTTTCTGTTTTAGGTATATCTTTTCTTTTTGTTTTATTTCTTTTTTTACATTATTTTGGGTTTCTATTTTCTTCATTTTTATTTTTAAATTTAAAAAATTAGTTTTATAAATTAATATTTTTTGAATATATGGTAACTTTTTTGAAACACGGGGTTACCTTTTTAAACATACGCTGAACTTTTTGTAATATATAGTGATATTTTTTCATATACGGTGAGTATTTGTTAAATACATCGAGCAATTTTTTAGCAATTTTTTCTCAAATATAAACTAATTTTTTTTCGAATATATGGTGATTTGTGTTATATAGGGTGAACTTTTTAAATGCACACTGAACATTTTTAAACACAAATTGAACTCTTTAAAATAAACAAACATTATATACACATTTGATTTTTAATTGACTTTTAAACATTATAATTCATAAATATATTTTTATTTTTTTATGCACTCAGTTAATTAATATTTTCACCCGAAAATTTAATGAAAATGGCGGCTACATTTCGGGCCGATTTAAGCCAGCATGGGTGTTTCGTCTTTTATATGACGCCTGTGTCCGTCATACAGGGGACTCTAAAAATTGGAGCCGGTTCGCCTCGGTCTTCTGCAAATTTATAATCTGGTGTTTCCTCAGATGCAGATCATGTTGCTTGCACCCTCAGTTTCTCATCACTGGTTTGTAGCTCAAGACGTCTTCTCATGTTGCAGTAGTTCCTTCTTGGCTCAGCAACTAACATAAGATAACGAGGCGTTTTCTGGTCAACACTTCGTTTTGTGGCCATAAAACACCACCTGCATTTTGTAGCTTTTTTTTTTCCTTTTTCATTTTCTCGGTGGAATTAGCTAAGCTTTTAAAAAAAGCGGCTAGGGTTTCTGCCTCCCGTCGGAAGCACCGCCGATCTTCCACGTCTCCTGTGGCCTTAGGGCCATGGGTGCGCGGTGGATCCCGGTCCTTACTGGCGGGAGGGCTTCGTTTTCAGGTGCTTCTTCAAGTTTTGTTAGAGCTTATGTCCTGCTCAAGAAGACGAGATGGCGGCGACTTCTTGAAGATGGAATATGGTTCTTCCCGCCTAGCCCCCGTCCTAGTGTGTGTCTAGCATCGTCGGAGGCCGTGTGTCTCTGGCAGATCTCACGAGATTTGGTCGGTAGTTGTCTTTGATTGATCCGCTCGGATCCGGTCTTTGTTCGTCTTTGCTCATGTGTCTTCAGGTTGGATCTTTTCGATCTAAAATTCTCTTCATCGGCGGCAGTTGCTGTTCTGGTGCGTTGATGGGATCTTAGCACGACGGCTTCCTGACTGTCTACTACAACAAATTGTGCCTGACTCCGACGAGGGAGGGGCGATGACGGCGGCGTGCCTTAGGCTCGCTTCAGTGCTTGCAGTCGTCGCTAGGTGGTCTATAAATCGTGATGCATTTTTTTATTATTTCTAGTGTTCGTTGTACTGCCATAACTGAAAATGAATATATCGACAGTTTTCCGCAAAAAAAAAAAAGAATTAGCTAAGCTTTTTTCTTTTTTAGTTCAACTCAAAACGTAGGAAGATTCCACATTCTGGATGGCCTCTCCACGCCAGTGAATGAATGAATCGAATAAAGGGCCTTTTCTTTCGGTTCACTCTTTGCGCAGCCGGAGCAGTGTCCCCTCCGCCCCAAAGACAAAAGAGAAGGAACAGTCCATCGTCGATCGACCCGGCCGCATGTTTGGTATAGTAGAAGCTTTTATGGCGAGCCTCCCGCGGCCGCTACAGCCTACACCTGTAAGCCCACAGTATCGCTCGTACAAAGCGATCATCATCCACAATGCCCATTCCTTTTCCCCCATTCCTTCGCTGCGCGGGAAGATATGCGCCTCTGCCTTTTCCGTCCCCAAGCCCACGATCAGGGCCTCAAAGCTCATACAAGACCGAGAGCACCTCAGCTACTGCTGCGGATGCAACAATAGCGACGCGCCGAGAGATGTGCAGCGAGTAGGTCGCCTTTCTTCTCTGGGATGCAGGAGGGTGCGTTGTGCCTAACACTGCAGGCTCCTCAGTGCCAGTACCACACAGACTACCTTTTTTTTCCCCTAATATTGTTGGGTACCGTCACAGCTATGCCAATCAATCGGAAGTGTGATTAGACGTGTGGTTGGCACGTGATTGCACATGATTTTTATTGTGGGAGATTAATAACCATGGCAGATTTCACCGTGAAATTTTCCACGTAAGAGCATGCCTAGTAGTACAACCAACTGCTAGCTATATAATGTTGTCATGTCATCCATAGTCATCATTTAGTCACTTATAGAAGCACACGTATAACTAAACTCTTGCATGAGAGCACACCCTTCTTCAATTTTCATGTATCTATCCTTCACATGGACAAAATTGTCATGTACTTGCTCTAATAAGCAACTCAAACGAGCTAATTTATCATTATTGAGGTAGTAGTCGTCAAAGATAGAGAAGTTCGACCGTTTACTATCCAAACGTCATCAGTTTCCGAACAGAAGCAGTGGCATATATGAATTCCGGTAACAAATCACGCACAAGGAAATTTAGGCACCAGACATGGACTCATGGACGCAACCGGCCAGCCTGCTTTTCGCAAGGACATGCACGCACTTTCCCTTTCC